TTGGTCAGTTTTCATGCATATAGGCCATAGGGACCAAAAATGGCCAATGACCAACTTTGCCAAATATGCCAATTTCTCTCATGTTTTGGTCTTTTCCTACTAATTGGACCCCAGGGAGTTCAAAAAACTCAAAAAAACTAATTAAAATCTGTAAGTTTGGAAAGTAGCAATTTCTGGTCTGCACAATGGCAGTCAAAAAGTGCTCAAACACAAATAAATTTTTTGCTTGAAAAGTTACAGAGCTACAAGGCTGAAACTTGCTGGGAATATCCAAATGGACTATCTCTACATGTGGGAAAAAACAGAACTCAAATATCTGCCATAGATCAAGAAATAATTTTGGTCAGTTTTCATGCATATAGGCCATAGGGACCAAATTTGGCCAATGACCAACTTTGCCAAATAAGCCTATTTCTCTCATATTTTGGTCTTTTCCTACTATTTGGATCCCAGGGAGTTAAAAAAACTCAAAAAAACTAAATAAAATCTGTAAGTTTGAAAAGTAGCATTTTCTGGTCAAATGGTGGTCAAAAAGTGCTCAAACACAAATAAATTTTTTGCTTGAAAAGTTACAGAGCTACAAGGCTGAAACTTGTTGGGAATATTCAATTGGACTATCTCTACATGTGGGAAAAAACTGAACTCATAATATCTGCCATAGATCAAGAAATAATTTTGGTCAGTTTTCATGCATATAGTCCATAGGGACCAAATATGGCCAATGACCAACTTTGCCAAATATGCCAATTTCTCTCATGTTTTGGTCTTTTCCTACTAATTGGACCCCAGGGAGTTCAAAAAACTCAAAAAACTTATTAAAATCTGTAAGTTTGAAAAGTAGCAATTTCTGGTCTGCACAATGGTAGTCAAAAAGTGCTCAAACACAAATAAATTTTTTGCTTGAAAAGTTACAGCGCTACAAGGCTGAAACTTGCTGGGAATATCTAAATGGACTATCTCTACATGTGGGAAAAACCAGAACTCAAATATCTGCCATAGATCAAGAAATAAGTTTGGTCAGTTTTCATGCATATAGGGCACAGAGACCAAATATGGCCAATGACCAACTTTGCCAAATATGCCAATTTCTCTCATGTTTTGGTCTTTTCCTACTAATTGGACCCCAGGGAGTTCAAAAAACTCAAAAAAACTAATTAAAATCTGTAAGTTTGAAAAGTAGCAATTTCTGGTCTGCACAGTGGTAGTCAAAAAGTGCTCAAACACAAATAAATTTTTTGCTTGAAAAGTTACAGAGCTACAAGGCTGAAACTTGTTGGGAATATCCAAATGGACTATCTCTACATGTGGGAAAAAACAGAACTCAAATATCTGCCATAGATCAAGAAATAATTTTGGTCAGTTTTCATGCATATAGGCCATAGGGACTAAATTTGGCCAATGACCAACTTTGCCAAATATGCCAATTTCTCTCATGTTTTGGTCTTTTCCTACTAATTGGACCCCAGGGAGTTCAAAAAACGCAAAAAAACTAATTAAAATCTGTAAGTTTGAAAAGTAGCAATTTCTGGTCTGCACAATGGTAGTCAAAAAGTGCTCAAACACAAATAAATTTTTTGCTTGAAAAGTTACAGAGCTACAAGGCTGAAACTTGCTGGGAATATCCAAATGGACTATCTCTACATGTGGGAAAAAACAGAACTCAAATATCTGCCATAGATCAAGAAATAATTTTGGTCAGTTTTCATGCATATAGGCCATAGGGACCAAATATGGCCAATGACCAACTTTACCAAATATGCCAATTTCTCTCATGTTTTGGTCTTTTCCTACTAATTAGACCCCAGGGAGTTCAAAAAACTCAAAAAAACTAAATAAAATCTGTAAGTTTGAAAAGTAGCAATTTCTGGTCTGCACAGTGGTAGTCAAAAAGTGCTCAAACACAAATAAATTTTTTGCTTGAAAAGTTACAGAGCTACAAGGCTGAAACTTGCTGGGAATATCCAAATGGACTATCTCTACATTGTGCGTGAGGAAACAGAGAACAATGGAACAGCTTTATTCGTTAACTATAGGTAAGAGATCACGAAGTAAACTTTTTAGAACAGAAAATGTTTATGTGACCGTGGATTTTCATCAAGGCTGGTCAAGAATTTCACCCCAAGATGTACCAAGAAGGTTATTTTTCACTTTTGAGAAATTGATTAGAGAGATTGCAGAGCAGGTAGAATGTAGTCCAACGGATTACTTACGTTTTTCTCTTCATCACCCAGGCTTGAAAACCCCAGCTTTCATCCCCTTTCAACAATACGCAAACGTTTCGGCTCTTCAGCTGTTAAACAAAGTCGCCACGATTCTTCAATCCAACGACCAGTTTCGGCTTGATGAACGAATGAGTTTAGAGGTATGCCATGTTAATCCACCCGATGGTGTGGGTTCCGGGGGAGATCAAGTTTGTAAACGCAACGTGGGTGATTTTGGCGAATATTTGAAGAGGAAAAAATGCCTGGTCACCATCAAGAACCAAGACGGCTTATGCTTTCAGCGCGCCATCGTCGTGGCCAAGCATTATGCCATCAAAGTACACACGAAAGAGTGGGAAGCTACACGCGAAAAACTAAGGAAAACGGGACCCAACAGTTTCCAAACGAGAAGGGCACATCGTTTAATTGAAAAAGTAGGCGGATCGATAGATAGCTGTCGAGGACAGGCGGATTGGGAATTATACGGCAAAGTTTTAGGCAAAGAAGGATACCAACTGAATGTATATTCTCGACAACTTTTTGGCAAAGCGGCTTATAGATCCAACAAGTACGTGGAAGGAACGCCGAAACATCTCAATTTGTACCATCACGACAAACACTATGACGTCATCGCAAAAATGGCTGCTTTCGTAGAGCGTTCTTATTTCTGCGAGACTTGCCAAGTAGGATACAACCACCCCAGTGACCACAAGTGTCACGTGATGTGTCAAAAATGCCGTCAGCCTGGACCTGAATGTACCGGTGATCTTAAGAGGGTGTGTTCCGATTGTCATCGCCTGTTTAACAGTCAGTCCTGTTTCGACCGTCACAAAGCCCTTCGTACGACAGTTTCCGTGTGTGAACGATGGCAGCGGTGTTTGAAATGCGGAAAAGAGTGGGACACCATCAAAATGCACAGAACATTGGACCAGCACGTCTGCGGAGAATACCATTGCAAAGTTTGTGGTGTTTTTCACACCAAGGCCGATCGGTGGTGTTCTATTCAGAAAGCGAAATGTCCGATCGATGTCAATGGAAACAAAGAAGATCAAATAGCAGCACTGCAACGGAAAGATCTGACGCGTTTTGTCTTTTTCGACTTTGAATGTCAGCAGGATTCGGGAGATCACATACCC